AGCACACCTCGCTTTTTTAGACCGATGAGCTTTGTAAAAATCGACGTGTTTCAGAAAGGCGGGGCATAGAGGAGAAACAATAATGTACAGTATGTGGAAAATAATGTGCTTTTTGAACCTTAAACCGCATAAACACATTTCATTACACCAAATACACAAAATAATGTTCTTTTTAGCAGCATCATATGACCCCTTTAAAATGTTTTAAAGAAAAATATTACAAAGTTTAAACATATTTTTAAAAGCTATGTAAAATATATACATTGTTGCATCTAAAATTATTGTTACTTTTGCATTGTTGCTGCCCATAAAGGTAGACTATAGATTGCTGTTGGTTTTATTTAATAGGCGGTTCTGAATAAATGAGACAGTATGGATAGAAAGTACAGGGCAACTTTTTTGAGCAATGTTGCTGGGGTATTTTCCCATTGAGAATGGGTAACAAATTTCTATCTGGATAATTTAGATCGGTTGTGGGCCCTGTGTCTCACTTGGTTGCTCGTTGACAGCAACATTGCTCAAAATGTTGCCCCATGTATCATCAGCCTAAAAGGGATAGTTCACCCAAAAATTAAAATTGTGACATTAATTACTCATCGTCATGTCGTTCCAAACCTGTAAGACCTTCGTTCATCTTCAGAACACAAATTAAGATATTTTTGATGAAATCCGAGAGCTCTCTGACCCTCCATAGACAGGTTATTACCACGATCAAGGCACAGAAAGTAAGGACATTGTTAAAATAGCCCATGTGACATCAGTGGTTCAACTGCAATTTTAAGAAGCTACGAGAATACATTTTGTGCGCAAAGAAAACAAAAATAATGATTTTTTTTCTTCAATTTTTCTAATCTGTGTCACCGTCCGCCACCATTCATGAGAGTACCATGACACACGTGTGTGGTGCTGCTGACATAGAACATGCATGCGCTATGTTTACAAGCAGAGGAATGCACACGGATGCATCATGATACTCTCGTGAATGGTGGCGGACAATGACGCAGAGGAGAAAAAATATTGTATAAAGTCGTTATTTATGTTTTCTGGTCACACAAAAAAGTATTCTCGTAGCTTCGTTAAATTACAGTTTAACCACTGATGTCACGTGGACTAGTTTAACTATGTCCTTACTACATTTCTGGGCCTGGAAACGTTTCAGTTGCTGTCTATGCAGGGGTCAGAAAGCTCTTGGATTTCATCAAAATTATGTAAATTTATTTTCCGATCTTACGGTTTTCGAATGATATGAGGGTGAGTAATTAATGACACATTTTTCATTTTTGGATGAACTATCCCTTTAAAGTGAAAACCGATCTCTACAAAAAGTTTTTTTTTAATTACAAATATAAAATCTAAACTAAACTTTCATAAATATTCATTCATTATGACACTTCATTCATCACTGACCGGTGAAGCTGATTAGTTTCAGTCACATAAATAATATGTTTTAGAGAACCTCTGTGTAGTCAGGGAGTTTCATCTGATTGTAGCTAGTGAGTATTTTGGCACAATTTACATAATGAAGAAAAAAGAACCTTGCAGCTTTGCTAAAACTAATTTAAAAGCACAAGGCATGACAAGGCATTAAAAAAGCCAGAACTACACAGAATAGGATGGGCAAAAAAAACAACAACAATATTAATATCTTGGATTGACCAAGTCAGAGGTCTGATCTCACATTAAACTTGCTGTAGAATTCATGCATGGTTTTAAAAAGTCAATCAACTCCAAATCTCTATGCAACCCGGCAAAATTTACCCACACAAAGCTTTAATGTTGTTAAAGGTTCACCTACTTAATACTGACTCAAAATGGGTAAATACATATGCAATCAATTATTTTGTGTTTGATATTTACAATATATATATATATTGAGTAGTAAAATTTGACAGTTTTTCTTTGTCTGTTAATCAGTGCCAAAAAAATAAATAAATAATAAATAAATAAATAAATGTCTGTAGTTCAGTGTTGGAAAACAATAAAAACATAAACATTATGACTAAAATATGCACTCTGTGAATTGTTGAAAAAGGCAAACTGGCTTACAGACCAGCATATTCAAATCAGTTATAACAAATAAGTAGCATAGTGTGTATTGAAAGCATTCTTGCCAACGTTAAACTAATAGTAATCATCTTTCAAGTATAAACTCCAGGTTTGCTGCTTATCCCCTTTTAACACAAATAAAAAGATGCTTAGACTCAAAAATTGATTTAAGCTTTGAAAGTAATTATTTCATACTGCAACTATCCAACAGTAAAAAGTATATAACATATAAAAATAAACATTATTTCCATTTTTCTGTAACAGTGGTTCCTCTTGTTGACCCCTGCAACAACTACAATGTGCTAGATGATCCATGGAGAGCCACCAACAATCAATATACCTCTGAAATAATGTGTGACTGTGAAGTTAGCTGGAATGGCTGGTACCGTCTCTTCATTCAGGGTCAGAGCGTTCAGATGCCAGACACATGTGTTGATGAGTATAGTTGTGGCACTCATTCCCCACTCTGGCTGAACGGAGGACATCCAGCAGTTGAGGATGGAGTGGTCACTCGAGATGTCTGCGGTCATTGGGACAATAACTGCTGCTATTTCAACTCCAATCCCATTAAAGTCAAAGCCTGTCCAGGCAATTATTTTATTTATGAGTTTGTGAAACCTGCTTTCTGCTCTTTGGCATACTGCGCAGGTAAATACATTTACATTTTACCTTTGTATATCTAAGTCATAATTGGATCGTTGTTGACATAAAATGTATCAATGTTTTTCAGCTGTAGCGAACATAAACACTACCTATACTACTGTCACACCAATGAAAACCTCAACAGCAGCCACTACAACAATGGACTTTACTGGTAATGTATTGTGCTGAGTTGGAATCTGTAGGATTTATTGCATGTATAGATAAATAGATGGATTTGTAATTAATGTAATTAATTCTATTAAACTAGTTTGACACTGAAATCTGTAAAAAAAAAAAAACACTTTAAATTTCCTAACATTCATTTTGCCATTAATTGTAATAATACAGTGAGATTTTTGTTTGCACAAGGAGTCTGAAAACAGCCAGTGCTCTACACAGAGATCTGATCTCATTATGATCCAGTCTGTCTGGAATGGCATGAAGAAACAGAACAAACTGAGACAGACTAAATCCAGAAGAACTGTGGCAACATCTCCAAGATGCTTCAAGAGACCTACCTGCAAAGCTACCTGAAAAACTATGCGCAAGTGCACTTAGGGCTTAAGCTGCTTTAACAAGTGCACCGAGGGCAAAAGCTGCTTTAAGCGCAAAGGATGCTCACACCAAATGTTTAATTTAGTTAATAGAAGTTAACTCATTTTACAGCAATTTTACACAAGAGCCTAAAACGTTTAACAGTACTGCAGCTTTGCAGGTAGGTTTCTTGAAGCATCTTGGAGACGTTGCCACAGTTCTTCTGGATTTTAGTCTGTCTCAGTTTGTTCTATTTCTTAATTTCATTCCAGACAGACTGGATGATGATGAGATCAGATCTTTGTGTGGAGCTCTGGCTGTTGTCAGACTCCATGTACAAAAATCTCACTGGATTATTACAATTAATGGCAAAATAAATGTTTGGAAATGTAAACTGATATTTCCTACTGACACACTACAGTAAAAGATAGAAATAACTGACATAAAACTATTTTTTAGCTGGTGAAAATACTAGTGTTCTAATCATTTTGGGCACCACTATATATGTATTTAAATGTATCTTGTTTAATTTATTATTATTATTGTTATTATTATTTTTCAGATATCTGGAACAACAGCATTTCCTATACGACTATCTTGATAGAAACAACCTCAGACATGAAAACCACATTAATAGAAACAACAATCTTGGCCACTGGTAATGCAGAAAGTACTACCACAGAGCCCACAACAACAAACCGCAGCACCATAACTCCAGAAAGTTCCACAAAGGAGACCACAACAATAAGCAGCAGCACCACAACTCCCGAAATATCACCAACACAGACTACAACAACAGATAGCACCTATACTGGCACCATAACAACAGAAAGTACTACCACAGGCACCACAACCGATATCACAACAACAGACAGCACTACCAACAGAGAAAGTACAACCTCTGGCATGACCACTCCAGGAAGTACTACCACAGAGACCACAACATCAGAAAGCACTACTACTATCAACACAACTCCAGTCAGTGCAACAACAGAGACCACAATGGCAGAAAGTAAGACCAATGGTGCCATTACTGCAGAAAGTATTGCCTCAGAGACCACAACAACAAGCATCACCACCACACAAGAAAGCACAACAACCGAGACCACAACAACAGAAACCCCTCGTACTACAACTGCAAAAATTACAACAACAGAGACCACAACACCAGAAAGCATAACAACTAAGACCACAGAAATAGAAAGTACCACTGCAGGCACAACAATGGAAACCACAACAACAGAAAACACCAGCCTCGGCACAACAACTGAGACCACAACAATAAAAAGTACCACAACAGGCACCACAGCTGAGATCACAACAACAGAAGGGACCACCACTCCAGACAGTACTACCACAGAGACCACAACAACAGAAAGCACCACCACCGGTACTACAACTCCAGAAAGCACCACAATGGCAGAAAGGAAAACCACTGGCACCACCACTCCACAAAGTACAACAATGAAGACCACAACAACAGAAAGTAGCACCACAACTGTGATCCCACCAACAGAAGGCACAACCACTCCAGAAAGTACTACCACAGAGATTACAACAACAAAAAGCACCACGATCGATACCACAACTCCAGAAAGCACCACAATGACAGAAAGTACAACTGCTGGCACAAAAACTTCAGAAAGTACAACACCAGAGACCACAACAAAAGAAAGTACCACCCCTGAGACAACAACCAAGACCACAACAACAGAAAGTACCACCACAACTGAGATCACATCAACAGAAGGAACCACCACTCCGGAAAGTACTACCGCAGAGACCACAACAACAAAAAGCACCACCACCAGTACCACAACTCCAGAAAGCACCACAATGACAGAAAGTTCAACCGCTGTCACCACCACTCCAGAAAGTATAACAACGGAGACCACAGCAACAGAAAGCACCACAAATGAGATCACAACAACAGAAGGCACCACTAGCCCAGAAAGTACTACTACAGAGACCACAAGAACAGAAAGGACCACGATCGATACCACAACTCCAGAAAGCTCCACAGTGGCAGAAAGTACAACTGCTGGCACAACAACTTCAGAAAGTACAACACCAGAGACCACAACAATAGAAAGTACCACCCCCGGGACAACAACCGAGACCACAACAACAGAAAGTACCACCACAGTCACCACAACTGTGATCACACCAACAGAAGGCACCACCACTCCAGAAAGTACTACCACAGAGCCCACAACAACAGAAAGCACCACGGTCGATACCACAACTCCAGAAAGCACCACAATGACAGAAAGTACAACTGCTGGCACAACGACTTCAGAAAGTACTACCACAGAGACCACAACAACAGAAAGCACCACGGTCGATACCACAACTCCAGAAAGCACCACAATGACAGAAAGTACAACTGTTGGCACAACAACTTCAGAGAGTACAACAACAGAACGTACCACCCCCGGGACAAAAACCGAGGCAGCAACAATAGAAAGTACCACCACAGTCACCAAAGCTGAGATTACTACAACAGAAAGCACCACCACCAGTACCACAACTCCAGAAAACACCACAATGATAGAAAGTACAACCACTGGCACCACCACCCCAGAAAGTACAATAACGGAGACCACAGCAACAGAAAGTAGCACCACGAGCACCACAAATGTGATCACACCAACAGAAGGCACCACCACTCCAGAAAGTACTACCACAGAGACCACAACAACAGAAAGCACCACGATCGATACCACAACTCCAGAAAGCACCACAATGACAGAAAGTACAACTGCTGGCACAACAACTTCAGAAAGTACAACACCAGAGACCACAACAAGAGAAAGTACCACCCTCGGGAAAACAACCGAGACCACAACAACAGAAAGTACCACCACAGTCACCACAACTGAGATCACAACAGCAGAAGGAGCCACCACTCCGGAAAGTACTACCACAGAGACCACAACAACAGAAAGCACCATCACCGGTACCACAACTCCAGAAAGCCCCACAATGACAGAAAGTACAACCACTGGTACCACCACTACAGAGAGTACAACAATGGAAACCACAGCAACAGAAAGTACTACCACCGGCACACCAACCAAGGCCATAACAATAGAAGGTACCACCAATGGAACCACAACAGAGATCACTACAACAGAAGGCACTACCAATCCAGAAAGTACTACCACAAAGACCACAATAACAGAAAGTACCACCATCGGTACCACAACTCTAGAAAGCACCACAATGATAGAAATTACAACCACTGGCACCACCACTCCAGAAAGTACAACAACGGAGACCACAAAAACAGAAAGCACCACCATTGCTACCACAACTCCTGAAAGCACCACAATGTTAGAAAATACAACCACAGGCACAACCGCTTCAGAAACTACAACAACACAGACCACAACAACAGAAAGTACCACCCCCGGCACAACAACGGAGACCACAACAACAGAAAGTACCACCACAACTGAGATCACAACAACAGAAGGCACCACCACTACAGAAAGTACTACCACTGGCACCACCACCCCAGAAAGTACAGCAATGGAGATCACAACAACAGAAAGCACCACCACTGGTACCACAACGCCCGAAAGCACCACAATGACAGAACGTACAACCACTGGCACCACAACAACAGAAAGCACCACCACTGGTACCACAACTCCAGAAAGCACCGCAATGACAGAAAGTACAACCAGTGGCACCACCACTTCAGAAAGTACAACAACAGAGACCACAACAACAGAAAGCACCACCACTGGTACCACAACTCCAGAAAGCACCACAATGACAGAAAGTACAACCAGTGGCACCACCACTTCAGAAAGTACAACAACAGAGACCACAACAACAGAAAGCACAACCCCTGAAATTACAACTTCAGAAAGTACAACAATGGAAACCAGAACTACAGAAAGCACCACAACAGACACTACAAAAACAGAAAGCAGCACCACAGATACCACAACACCAGAAAGCACAACAACTGAGACCACAACAACAGAAGACACCACCACTACAGAAAGTACTACCACTGGCACCACCACACCAGAAAGTACAACAATGGAGATCACAACAACAGAAAGTACCAGCACAACTGAGTTCACAACAACAGAAGGCACCACCACTACAGAAAGTACTACCATAGATACCACAACAACAGAAAGCACCACAATGACAGCACATACAACCAATGGCACCACCACTCCAGAAAGTACAACAAAGCAGACCACAACAACAGAAAATGCCACCACAACTGAGATCACAACAACAGAGGACACCACCATTACAGAAAGTAGTACTATAGAGACCACAACAACAGAAAGCACCACCACTGGTACCACAACTCCAGAAAGCACCGCACTGACAGAAAGTACAACCAGTGGCACCTACACAACAGAGACCACAACAACAGAAAGCACCACCCCTGGAATTACAACTTCAGAAAGTACAACAATGGAAATCACAAATACAGACGATACCACAACTACAGAAAGCACCACAACAGACACTATAACAACAGAAAGCACCACCAAAGGTACAACAACACCAGAAAGCACAACAACTGAGACCACAACAATAAAAAGCACCACCACAGGCACCACAACAGAGACCATAACAACAGAAAGCACCACCACTGGTTCTACAACTCCAGAAAGCACAACAGTGTTAGAAAGTACAACCACTGGCACCACTACTCCAGAAAGTGCAACAACAGAGACCACAACAACAGAAAGTACCACCCCCGAGACAACAACAGAGACCACAACAATAGAAAGTACCACCACAACTGAGAGCACAACAACAGAAGGAACCACCACTACAGAAAATACTACCACAGAGACCACAACAACAGAAAGCACTACCACCGGTATCACAACTTCAGAAAGCACCACAATGACAGAAAGTACAACAACAGAAAGTACCACCACTGGTATTACAACTTCAGAAAGTCCAACAATGGAATCCAAAATTACAGAAACCACCACACCAGACACTACAACCACAGAAAGCACCACTACAGGTACACCAGAAAGCACAACAACCGAGACCACACCAATAGAAAATACCACCACAGGCCCCATAACAGATATCATAAAAACAGAAACCACCATCACTGGTTCTACAACTCCAGAAAGCACAACAGTGTTAGAAAGTACAACCACTGGCACCAATACTCCAGAAAGTACAACAACGGAGACCACAACAACAGAAAGTACCACCCCCGGGACAACAACCGAGACCACAACGATAGAAAGTACCACCACTGGCACCACAAAAGAGATCACGACAACAAAAGGGACCACCACTCCAGACAGTACTACCACAGAGACCACAACAATAGAAAGCACAACCATTGGTACCACAACTCCAGAAAGCACCACAATGACAGAAAGTACAACCACTGGCACCACCACTTCAGAAAGTACAACAATGGAAATCACAAATACAGACGATACCACAACTACAGAAAGCACCACAACAGACACTATAACAACAGAAAGCACCACCAAAGGTACAACAACACCAGAAAGCACAACAACTGAGACCACAACAATAAAAAGCACCACCACAGGCACCACAACGTACCACAACTCCAGAAAGCACCACAAGGACAGAAAGTACAACCACTGGCACCACCACTTCAGAAAGTACAACAATGGAAACAACAACTACAAAAAGCACCACAACAGACACTACAACAACAGAAAGCACCACCACAGGTACCTCAACACCAGAAAGTACAGCAACTGAGACCACAACAATAGAAAGCACCACAACAGAGACCATAACAGCAGAAAGCACCACCACTGATTCTACAACTCCAGAAAGCACAACAGTGTTAGAAAGTACAACCACTGGCACCACTACTCCAGGAAGTACAACAACAGAGACCACAACAACAGAAAGTACCAACCCGGGGACAACAACTGAGACCACAACAATAGAAAGTACCACCATAACTGAGATTACAACAACAGAAGGCACCACCACTACAGAAAGTATTACCGCAGAGACCCCAACAGAAAGTACCACCACCAGTACCACAACTCCAGAAAGAACCACAATGACAGAAAGTACAACCACTGCAACCACCACTTCAGAAAGTACAACAACAGAAAGATCTACAACAGAAAGTACCACAACCGACACTACAACAACAGAAAGCACCACCACAGGTACCACAATACCAGAAAGCACAACAGCTGAGACCACAACAATAGAATGTATCACCACAGGCACCACAACAGACACCATAACAACAGAAAGCACCACCACTGGTTCTACAATTCCAGGAAGCACAACACTGTTAGAAAGTACAACCACTGGCACCACTACTCCAGAAAGTACAACAACAGAGACCACAACAACAGAAAGTACCACCCCCG